TGGGGCGGTGCTGTGGCTCAAAGGGCATCTGCGGAGTGAGCAGGGTTCCTCTGGCAGGTGGAGTTCCTCAGCCTGGGCTGCGGGGATTGGGCCAAAACTGGCTCTCCGACATCCCCCAAGGGGTCCTGGATTGTGAGAGGGCAGTTCTCAGGTGATGCACCCCAGAATTGGGCTCCCTCCTCTCTGGTTCTGGAGTGCATTACCCGAGAACCACCACTGCAAAGTCACCACAGCTTGACAGCTCCTGCCCTCTGGTGGTCATTGCGTGTCATAGCTACCAGTCAGACGGTCGGATGGTCACTTAGCCTTTTAACCCCTAGAGTGCCGGGGAGCGTGATCGTGCTCCTCCTGTCTTTCGCCAAAAGTGCCTGGAGCACTATTGCGCTCCTTCTGCAGTGTCCAGTTCTAAGTCTGCTTTTATTAGTGATGATGATATTGCTAAATATGTCAATTCTTGCTGTGAAGATGATGATTTTGTGGAAGATATTGAATATGTAACTTCATTTACTTATTCATAATTAAGTTGAAAGAAATCTCTACCTAGACTATTTTTCTATTTTACATATTGTTGAACTATGTATTTAAAATAAAATATTTTAAAGAATCTTTTAATGCTTGCATTAGGGTTTACAATATTCATTTTAAAATATTGTGAGTTCACTTAAAATAATATTAACCACCTCAAATGTTGTATAAGGATCTTTATTTCCAACTAGAGGCTCAGTGCACGAAATTCGTGCACTCAGGGGGGCGACTCAGCTCACCTGTGCCCTCTCGCAGTCCAGGAGCCCTCAGGGGATGTCTGACTGATGGCTTAGGCCCACTGTCAGACATCCTTAGGGCTGCTGCGAAGGAGGGAGAGGCTCCTGCCACCGCCACTGTGCTTGCCAGTCATCGGCCCGGCTTGTGGCTGAGCGGTGTTCCCCCTGTGGGAGTGCACTGACCACCAGGGGGCAATTCTGCATTGAATGTCTGTCCCCTGATGGTCAGTGTTCGTCATAGCGAACAGTCGTTCTGCCGTTCAGTCAATTTGCATATTACCTTTTTATTATATAGGATATATGTGATTGAATTAGTAGCCAGTGCTTAAATTATGCCTGGCTTTTTTCCCGTTGAGCCAATTGGTTTACTCTGATATTCCTTTTTCTTTTCTTTTTTCCTTAGAGTTAATGTTAATACTTGCATTTTTCATATGGATATGCTTCAGTATTCTGTATTATTATTATTATATTTTTAAAATGCTCAATGAATACGATATGGTCAAGCCTAATTATCAGTAGCATTTCTTTCTTTGAAGGCTCCCTTCTGGAGCCTACTATCCTTTTGTCTCAAAGGGGTGAATCTGGTCTGCTGGCCACATAGTGCCCTGGCATTCCTTTTCACTGTTCCTGGACCTCATGTCTTTTTCTGTCTTGGTTTTCATCCTTGTTATTTTGAAGCACATCTTACAGCTTCCTTAAAAACTGACAATTAGCCCTAACCGTTTTGGCTCAGTGGATAGAGCATCAGCCTGCAGACTGAAAGATCCTGGGTTTGATTCTTGACAAGGGCATGTACCTCAGCTGCAGGCTCCTCCCCGGCCTGGGCCCAGGTCAGGACTCTTGCAGGAGGCAACCAAACCAATCAATGTGTTTCTCGCACATCGATGTTACTCTCTGTCTTTCCCTCTTGCTTCCACTCTCTCTAAAAATCAATGGAAAAATATCCTCATGTGAGAATTTAAAAACAAACAAAGAAGCCCTGACAGTTAGTGGAAAGTTTCAGTTTATAGAATGAAGAACAGATAAAGTTTTCATTCATCCATTCACTCATTCAACAAATATTTTTTGACCACTAACTGTATGCATTCAATAATAGGCATTCAATAATTTCTCAGAAAAAGTTATCTTAAGATAGAAAACAGATCATGCCACTTCTTTGCTTAAAACACTATGGATGGGCTCACTCTTGATCTTCTAAAGCACTTTCTTTGAACTGCTGTGATTCAGTGAACCTTATCTTTTGCTTTCTACTATTGGTGCATTTGCCTCACCATGTTTTAATCACCTTTGTATCTTCCTACCTGCTCAATAGATACTTGAATGAATAATTAAAAACACCCTCTGGATGAGTCCTTTTGCCTTTAGAATAAATTCCAAAGTGGCTCGCAAGGTCTTGAATGACTTGACTCCACTTTTTTTGGCCATCCTCATTTCATGCCACTCTCTCTGTCGTGCCCACGTCCCAGTCATCCTGGCCATCTTTTGGTTCCAGGAAGACACCTGGCTCTTTAGTATGGCGCGGACCTTTTCATTGTCTATGTTGCTCTTCCCTGGATATTTACATGACTGGTTCCTCATCACTGAGGACTTGGCTGAAATGTTTTCTCCTGAGAGAGGCCTTCTCTGGACACTCTCTCTAAAAGGCTCCTTACCCTTTTCATCACTGCTACAGTGCCTTGCTTATTTCCCTTATGGAAACAATAAACATACATAAAATGTATTTATGCATTGACTTGCTTATTGCCTATCTCCTTCATTAGAATGTAAACTTGACGAGGGCAGTGCTTTTGACATATTCTCCATTGTATTCTGGGGGACTAAGCAAAGTGCAGGGAAAGGAATAGATTCCAAAGAAATATTTGTTGATGCATGAGTGACTCCAATCAATTTAAAAATTTAACTGGAGTGATTGATCCATAGACTACTATTTTAGGCAAAGTGTTTAGAGAAATGATCATTATTGCTGTATGTCTGGTTCCTGTGTTCTACTCTGCTGTTTCCTCCCACCAATCGGCCTCATGGGCTCCAGCTGCACAGAACCTGCTTCGTTTTCTTCAGTAAGTCACATGCTCCCCCTCCTGCGGTCTGCAGCACAGTGCTGCACCCTCCGATGTGCCTGATGTTCTCTGCTCTCCTGTGTCTAATTTCCACTTGGTCTCCAGGCATCTCATCAAGTGTTAGTTCCTCTGTGAAATCTACCCTGACATTCTCAGACTGAGTCAAGTGGTTTTTCCCCCCAAGTTTCTCTCTCTCTCTCTATTAATCCTTTGGTAGCCCTTAGCACAGGATTAAAATTGCCCTTTTACTTCTCTGCTCTTCATGTAAGAAATAAACTCCTAGAAAGCAGAGACTGCATGTTGTTCACTCTTTTCTCAGTGTGCAGTATGGATGCATAGAAAAGGCCTTCAGTTAATACTGTTAAATGAAAAAATAAGTGAGTGAATACTGATAGATAAATACTATAGAGGAAGTAATATATTTAGAAAAAATGTTTTGAAGATGGAATGTGCAAATAGCAATCTGTAGAGAGAGCATTTTATTTTTTATGAGGTGTTAATCAGGTGGTAAGAACAATAATTTTGAGTAAGCATATCAGAAATGATACTCAGACCACTGCAGGATAGTGAGTGGGGTGAGAGAGTTCTGATTTTAATGCACAAAGAGATGCTGACTCAAATGAGGAGATTTTTTTCTTATGTTGATGAACACAAACACACCCATACATACAGTGGGAACAACTTAAGTACAGCAGGAAATTAGATGCAAATTATTATTATTACTTTAATATGTGCTAGATACTGTATGAATACACTTTCCATACATCATCTGTACCAGGACAATGACCAAATGTGAACTCTGCTAGACCACCTCTATTTTTGTCTTCTACACTTTTTCTGCCTTTTCTGCTTTTAAATGAGCATTTTGTATGATTCCATTTACTTTTCTTTCATAACATATCAATTTTAATTCTATTTAAAAAAACTTTTTTTGTAGTGGTTTCCTTAGAGTTTGCAATATACATTTACATCTAATCTAAGTATAATTTCATATAACATTATATTGCTACATGGATAGCGCAAGTACCTTATAACAACAGAATAATACTAATTCCTCTCTCCTGTCCCTTGTATCATTACTGCCATTCATTTTACTAATAGATAACCATACATATAATGAGTTATATATATATGCTATAACCTTATATATGGTTACATATATATATTCATACATGAGCCTACATAATTGAATCTATTCTTGTTATTATTTTGACCAAACTACTATGTGTTAGATTAATAAAGAACAATAAAAGTAAACCTTTTTATTTCACCTTCACTTACTCATTCTCCAAAGCTCTTCCTTTCTTTATGTAGATTAGAGTTTCTGATCTATATTATTTTACTTTTCTCTAAAGTACTTCTTTTAACATTTCTTGCAAGGCAGGTTTACTGGCAACCAATTCCTACAATTTCTGTTTGCTGAGAAAGTCTTTATTCTCCCTCACTTCTTTTTTGGAATCTTGTAGAAGCTTTTATTTTAATAATCAAGAGAATGTAATAAATGGAATCTATACTTATTAACATTAGGCATGCATCTCTACCTGAAACTGCTGTTAGTTTTTGACAGGTCTAAATCTTTACAACTTATTTAGGCCCATTTTTGAATTTCTTTGATCCTGATATACAAGGTAAGTTAAATTCTTCCTCGTGGCACCTTAATAATGAGAATTATGCTCACTGGCTAGATTCCTTTATAATTAAAGGCTTCTAGATACTCAGGCTGCCTGTATTACCCCAAGACCATACTTTATATAGAGACTTAAGTAAATCACAGCATAAGGAAGGGAAAAAATTTAGAAAGCTGAACTGTATTGTATGAATATTCCATAGATTTTTTTTCCCCAGCACTGATGGTCAAACACTAGTTAAGTACCAAATAACTCTTCTCCCATTGCCACCCTTTCTCAGAGACACCAAGATGTGTATCAGTGTCCCTAGGCATCTGAAACCAATTCACACAAATGACAGATTTTATCTATTTGGTTCCACTATCAAATTACAAAGAGCAGTTCCACTATCCAAATGATAGGAAGCAGTTAATGAGACGTTCAGAAAAACATAGTCCCACATACAGTAATATGTATCTAGGAAAGTTTTCCATTCATTTGCCAATTGCTTTCACAAGATTAACATTTAAAAAAAAGCCAAATACATATATGACCCTTAAACCCTTAAACCCCAAACACACAAAGATATTGGTCTTTGTTCATTCTCAGATGACCAGATGCTCCAAGAGTGCCAGGGGTGGGAGCCAATCTCCCTATAGCCTTTTCTTCAACCATTCTTGAACTACTTTCCTTTTCCAAAAAGGTAATGCTGAAATCAGTCGGAAAGGCTTTCTGAGAAGACTGACTTGGATTTCTGTTCAAGGCGATTCAAGATGAATTGGCTTGTATCAATGAAGCGTTCAACGCAGTTCACAAAACAGGCTTCAGCCCGGCCGTTCAACTCTGGCCCAGGCTTGTCCAAGCACTTCTCCCAACAAAGTTCCGTCCTCTGGTGCACCAGCTGCTGGAAGCGCTGCTTCTGAGTCTCCACCTGGATGAAATGCTGCAGCTGCGGGGCCACGGAGCCCAGACCCGCAGCGGAGGAATTCCAAGAGGAATCCTCCCAGCCTGGCCAGGCGCTCCGAGAGGAATTCCGCACCAACTCACCGACCTTCATGTGTCTCCACGACGGACTGTTAGTGTGCAGAATTCTAGGTGTGTTTTTGTTCTTGGAACACTCTAAGTATTTCAGTCCACTCTCTTCTTGATGCATGATTTCTGAGAAGTCAAATGAAATTCTTATATCTCCTCTATTGGTAAAGCTTTTTTCCTCTCTAATTTTTTTTTTATGATTCTTTATTTATCTTGATTTTCTGAAGCTTGAAAACAATACGATTAGGTGTAGGCTTCTTTTCTTTTTTGAGCCATTTTTATTTTTGAGCTTCATGAATCCGTGGTTTAATGTTGATGTCAATTTGGGGGAAAGTCTCAGTCATTATTGTTTCGAATAGTTCTTCTGTTCCTTTCTCTCTTTCTCCTTCTGGTATTCTCATATGTCACACTTTTCGTATTTGTTCTAAATATGCTGTTTTGTACTTTTTTCAAAAAATTTTCCCTCTCTACTTTTTAATTTTGGATGTTTCTAATGAGACATCCTCAAGTGCCTAGTTTCTCGCCTCAGCTGTGTCCACTCTACCAATAAGCCCATCAAAGTCACCCTTCCTTTCTGTTACAGTGCTTTTTATCTCTATCTCTTCTTTTTAGTTCTTTCTTAGAATGTTCATCTCTCTGCTTAAATCACCCATCTCTTTTTGCATGCGCTCTCCTTTATCCATTTGAATCGTTAGGCATTAATAACAATTAATCATGATTGTTATTTTAAAATTCCTATTCTGATAATTCCAACATCCCTGCCATGCCTGTGTCTGGCTTTGATGCTTTCTCTGTCTCTTTAAACTGTTGTTGTTGTTTGCCTTTTTTATAGTCTTGTAATTTTTCCTGGTGTTACCTATTCCACCCCCCCCCCCATCGGAGCCCTCGGCATATTAATCACAGCTGTTTTACATTCAAGATCTGTTCATATCAACACCCTGCCAAGGATGAGTGGGGTTCTTCTGTCTCTTCAAACTGCATATGTTGCCTTTTGATATGCCTTCTAATTTTTTGTTGTTGTTGAAAGCAGGACATGATGTTCTGGGTAAAAGAAACGGCAGTAAGGCGGCTTTTGGAGACGTGGTGGTGAGGTGTGGAGGGAGGGGAGGCTCGCTCTGTTGTCCTAGGGTTAGGTCTCAGCCTTTTAGTGAGCCTGTGATCCTTGCCTATGAACTTCACAAGTGCCCGGAGGGGGCTGGAGTTGAGTTTTCCGCCTTTCCCGAGGTTGCTTAGGCTCTGACAAAACCCTTATGCATTATTTTGCTCTGACGAAATAGTTTCTCCTGAGGGCAGGCTTTGTTAGAAAGAGCAGAATGCTCTGGCGTATTGCAAAAAAAACCAAAAACGCCCCATTTTCTCCTCCGCTTGCTAGCAGCATGGGGGGTTGGTGGTAATTTTCTTCTCATCTTCCTTGTGAGCATCTGGTTGAGCCCCTGGAGGAAAAACGCACACACTTGAAACCCCCCTGGAATTTTTATCTCACACACAAGTGCACACCGAGCCTCCGGAAATTCGTCAGTTACAGCTCAGGTTTTCCTGTCCTGGCAGTGGTTCCTGTGGGGGTTCCCACTTGTGGGAATCTGCTCTGGGAACAGTGATTCTCTGTATTTGCCTGTCTGTCTTTCTAATCTGGGGAGTAGCGGTTTGCCCTGTGACCTCACTTTTCTTATAGTTCTAGGGAGAGTTGTTGCTTTTTCAGCTTGTTTAGCTTTTTACTTGTTAGGATGGAGTGGCAACTCCCAAACTCCTTACGTGCTGGAATGGAAACTCCTCACGTGCTGGAATGGAAACTCCTCGTTTACTTGTTAGGATGGAGTGGCAACTCCCAAACTCCTGGAATGGAAACTTCTCATGCAATTTTGATATTTGCCTCTCTTAAGCGTTTGATATCACAAATGTTTTCTCTCATTCCGTAACATGTCATAACATAAACAGAAACTACTTATCTTTCTGTTAACTGAACAGAAACTCTATTTAAAAAATATGGCATACTATGTATAGTATTTACCATGTTAACCATTTTTAGGTGTGCAGTTCAGTAGTGTTAAATATATTCTCACTGTTGTGCAACCAGTTTTCAGAACTCTTTTCATCTTGCAAAATGGAAACTCTTTACTCATTAAACAACAGTTCTCAATTCTCCCTTCTTCCCAGCTCCTGGAAGAACCATTCTACTTTCTCACTCTCTGACTTTGGTCTTCATATAAGTGTAATCATATGGCATTTGTCTTTTTGTGACTGGCTTATTTCACTTAGTTTAGGGTCCTCAAGGTTCATCCATGGAAATCTTGAATTTTGATATAATCAAATTAATCATTATATTTTGCCTAAGTGGTTGTGTATTTGAAAAGTTGAGAGGCCCTTTATTTCCTTTAGATTACCAAGACTCTCCTGCATCTCTTCTAAAACAATAAAAGCTACATGAATGACAATTTTACAAAACTACATTGTTAGTTTTACATTTAGAGCTTTATTTCAACTGGAGTCCACCTTCAAACCTTTATGTGGTTTTATGCAGGTGTTCAGTTTTATTTTCCCAAAATAGTGAGCAGGTTAACACAAAACCATCTATTGACAAATTATTTCCTTTACTATTATTTGTAGTTTTATCTATATTATTTTTTCATATGTATTATCTGTCTCTTATGTTTTATTCCACTGGCCTATCCATCTGAGGCTGCACCAACACTATATTGCTTTTTTAAATGAGTTAATATATTTCATTTTTAAATTAAATCTTTGTTGTTGAAAATATTACTTATGTCCCCTCCCCCCCCCCAT